ACTGCATGGCTACTTTGGTGCATTGATGTGTCTTATTTACTTGCTAATACAGATTATATATTAGGAATTTACAATCATCATAATTTATATTTTACACAATATATCATTTATATTTTATTAAAAAAATAAGCTAATTGTATGAACAGCTGTTCACACTGAGAAATGTGAAACGTTTAATACTGATTTACAAACAAAACAATTTTGAACATTCTACATTGATTCACTCATCTTTGTCAGAACACTTTCAAATCAACAAACCACACTGATTATCCAAAGTAATTTATTCATTGCTTTAATTTAATAAAAATGATTACTTGTCATTTATTACACTTAGTATTTAATGAAACATTTCCATGTTTTCATGTCTTTCAGAACAGGTTACATTTAGGCACACAACAATGCATACAATTATTTACCTCTCTTTCAATTCAAACTCCTGACATGGAAGAGGAGGAGAACCAAGAGCTTACTGCATGAAAGACGGACACTATGCAGAATTCTAGATACTAAAGTAATTCAGCTTCCACAAATGTCCCGTACTGAAGATGATGATAATCCACTCCCCTAAACTCTAGTTATGTTTTTACTGTAAAATTACAAAAACACATCAAAAAGCATCATGGAACTTAAGCAGAAGCAGAGAAGTTATTTTGGCGGGCCTTCTCTTCAGAAGTTCAGGAGTACAAAATGTCCACTAAAACAACGCGAGAAAATATCACATTAAATACAACTGAAAAAAGTATCATCCACGATCTTGGTAAACAACATATACTTAAGCATTGTGTATTGTTTGCCTTGCGTCCAATGAATGCATGGCTGTTTGCACTCTTTCAAAAAAAAAAAAAAAAAACTTGTGGGTCAGCCCTTAAGAAAAACACTGCATTTATTATTAGCATATGTGAGCGAGCCAAAAATAAAATGATGCAGCCCACATTCCAGTGGCAAAAAGCATATCGATTTTGCCAAGATACAGCCATAGGACAACAAATATCACCTACTATTATTAGCCTCCTTCCAAACAAGGTCCACACAAATTCTACAGCTCATATACATGCAGCTTTAAGTAAAAGGACTGACTGAAGCAGACTTGGCAAACATCGTACCAGCATTCAGGTTGTTAGCGTCAGTTTTTCTTCTGTGAGGCCTTCTGAAACAAGCGCTCACCAGTTGTCTTGACTACTGGTCTAAGTCAATCCAGATGTGAGAAGATCTTTAGAGCATTGGAGATTCCATCATTCTTTCAAAAAAAAAAAAAAACCCTTGTGGGTCAGACCTTAAGAAAAACACTGCATTTATTATTAGCATATGTGAGCGAGCCAAAAATAAAATGATGCAGCCCACATTCCAGTGGCAAAAAGCATATCGATTTTGCCAAGATACAGCCATAGGACAACAAATATCACCTACTATTATTAGCCTCCTTCCAAACAAGGTCCACACAAATTCTACAGCTCATATACATGCAGCTTTAAGTAAAAGGACTGACTGAAGCAGACTTGGCAAACATCGTACCAGCATTCAGGTTGTTAGCGTCAGTTTTTCTTCTGTGAGGCCTTCTGAAACAAGCGCTCACCAGTTGTCTTGACTACTGGTCTAAGTCAATCCAGATGTGAGAAGATCTTTAGAGCATTGGAGATTCCATCATAAATGCAGGGCCATGAATGGTATTTGGGCCCCATGAATTCAAACGATGCCCTGCATGAATATATATGAATGATGCAGGTATTGTACATCGCATTTCAGTGACATGCTAAAACTGGGGAAGTGGTTTTCATGATAATACCCTGATTTAATGTATGTAATGTATTAAGCAAGCATTTATAAACATAATACATCTGAAAAAGCAGGATTTAGAATGATATTGTTTGGCATTTATCATGAAACTGAAAATAATCATTATTATTTGGCTTATAAATAAGAAAGTGTCTGCACTACAACGTATACAAGATAATGTCTTTCTCCTGGGGAGGAACAGCTAAATGGCACAAGGTTTTGGATCACAAAATGCCTTATCGTTTGGCAAAAGTCAGATGAGTATTTTTATTTTTTTTCAATAAATGACTGTTCTGCACTAGAAACACAAGATGACAATAGAACAGAAAAATAAACACAAACCAACCAACCAGTCTTTCCTGACCACCCCCCCCTAGTGAAAAAGTGCAATCTTACATTTTGTAGCTTTTCAGCATCCTTCTAGGAGCCCAACAATACCCTTCAGCATCTCTATTTACAAAGTTTCTCCCATCAAGAGGCTCATGCAAACACAGTGGTTCAGAGACATGGCTATTGCTGAGCAGAGTGTGAGGTGAGATTCACCAAGTGAATCTTCGGCCATTGCCAGCCTCAAAGCATGTCACTGTAATCATAATGGTTATTATTGTTATTTCAATTAAAGACTAGTTCTGTTCAGTCCCACAGTTTGGGAAGAGAGAATGATGGACTTCCACCCCACTGTTAAAAGCAGGGAAGCAGTAACATCTTTAGGTGCCAAAAACCTGCTGATTTGACTATTTAGAATCAGAAATGACAGGATCAACATAATTGCACGATCATTACGGGATTGGGGGAGAGTGAAGATTCTCAGAGATGACACCCCTCAGTGGGCCGAGCTGATCGCTCCTTACGGTGACGGAACAGACACTTCCAGAAGACGGTTGTTTTTACGTTTGCAGGCGACACCGTTGCCGTTCTTTGGTGTACCCTGGATGAATTTTACACACACTTTGTCCTGCTTGAACTGCACTAAGAACCTGAAAGGGAGAGAGTAAGTTAAGCCACAAGAGTGATACTGAGGAAACAAGATACACAGAAATGTTGGACACTTACTCATCTGAAATATCGATATTGATCTGGTTTCTGTCAGCTGAAGCAGCACCAATGCGATGAAGTTTGGTGATGATCTCAATCAGTCGATCACTGCTCAGCAGGAAGTCACCTTTGGCTGCAGATGTAGAACCCTAAAGAGAGATCCCGGTCAATATTGGTCCTGACTCACATGGTTCCCTAAATGAGATGAGTTATTGAATGTCAAACCTCTTTGAGCTTGAGGGCGAAAAAGCCATCGCTCTGTGTGCTCACAGAAACACTGCTGAGGTCCAGCAGGGGAACGCTGGCCTTCACCTGGCCCGTCTTCTGGTCAGCCAGAACAAAGCTCTTCTTGGTGAGGAGGAAAATTCTTGGAGCTCCCTAAAAATGAAGTTGTCTTTAAAGGTAACGTTTAGGATGAAAGGACCTAAATTGACCTTACAATGCAAACATAGACATGTTTTGCCTTTGGAAGAACATTCAAAATTTGTCTCATCCAGCACTTGTATTTGTCAAGATTACTCAGATCCAAATTACATGTAACATAACAGCTGTTTAACCATAAAAAAAAAAATAAAAATAATAACTTTGCTACGTGTACTGCGTTGGGCTAACTTGTCATAGCACTTGCATTTTATTGCTCTTTTGTTGGTTTTGATTGCTTCTATTGTCCTCATTTGTAAGTCGTTTTGGATTAAAGTGTCTGCTAAATGACTAAATGTTATGTAATGTAATACATTTGGGAATTTGTCAAAAAAAGAGGTTTATATGTTACAGAGAGTTCAGTATGATTGATGGTCAAAATGACGGACAACAACATCTTATCAGCAGCTTGGAATGTCCGTCATTTATCTGTCATACCGTAAATTCTACTGGCACAGAGCTAAGTGTCCTCACCTTGCCATTGGCACGGTTGATTTTACTGACCACATCTGCAAGCAAAACTTTATCCTCCACCAAGCTGTTGAGCTTCTGGTACTTTGGGTTTTTGGTTATCTCCACATAGTCTCCTTTGAAAGGCTGCCCCACACTGTAAAGCAGAGGATGTGTGTTATGGCGATAAAATTTTTTATAGAGTAAGCGTACAAAAATGAACTTAGGTGAACTGTTTTTTCCCTACCTGCTAGGATACAAGGCCTTCTTATCTTTGAAGAGTTCACTAGCCGCAAGCTTCTCCTCGTAGGTAGCCTTCTTCTCTTCTGTGAACTGGCTGCGGTATTTCTTACACTAATTGAAGGACACCATAAGGATAGATTCATTTAAAACCAGACATGACAAAGGTCTTAACAGTTAATTTTAGATATATATTTATATACAGATGTGTCTAAAGACACAAACCCTCCACAGATGGAAAATCCTCCTGAGCTCTTGATGCATCCCATCCAGGAAACCGTAGGGGCGAGCTGGCCAGCTCTTGTCAACTGGTGACATGGAAGGCATCGTTTTCTTCAAGCCCATGAAGTACTTCTGCATCTGTACACAAAAACTCACATTAGTCCCTTATGGGAGTATTTTCTTTCTTCTCGGGAGAATGAATCATTTCCTAGTGGTAACTACTTGGTTTCTTATTGCACTAATCAATGTGTTGGGATACATGAAGTGTACTAGATGTAAAAGACATGACTTAATTTGCACTTGTTGTATTCATGGACTTAGGAGTGTGTCACTAGCTTGGTATAATTGGTTGTGGCCAAGCATATTTGAAATGAAAGTGAAAAAGTGAAGCAGGATCTTTGGCTTTACAAAGTATGTAACAAACAAGCCATGCTCTCCATCAAATGTACTTGCCAGAAACTGCAAAGACCAGATGCCGCACAACTTGTGGTGATTTACATGGTAAACAGTGTACCACCAACAAGTAAGACTACTTTTCTGGATGATTAGGTGATTAGCAGAAAAATTAGTAGGCAAATCAGCTACTTAAGTGACTTACAATTCTCTGAATGGTGAAGTCATAGATCTTCTTGCCAGCATTGGCTCTGAAGAACTTCCTATATTCCCGACGGACCTGTGAAAAAGGTGGGTTTAATTTGTCACTTTTTGTATTGAAAGAGTTTTGTGATGACAGCAGGAATGGGACAAGACACGGTCAGGACAGTCAAGTGGTTTGTGACAAACAGGGTCTGAACACCTAAAGAGCAGCACACTGAAAAAGCAAAAGACAAAAGAGAACTGATGTTGTGATCAAAACAATGAGAGATCCACAGTCATACAGTACACAGTTATCTTTACAGAACCTGTAAAGGCAGAAGCCACCCCTAAGACCCCTACATGAAAAAACAGTAATGACAGCAAAAAACACTTATAAAACAATAACAACAAAAACAACAGTGGAGACAACACAACAAAGACCTTTACTGTCTGTAAAAGCCAACAGAACGTTAGGAGCAGCATGCAGACAGGACAGGCACATAGAAACAGACAGAAAACATAGCTGTCCTAGGGTTGGGCTACTAGGGCAAATAATTTAATAAAGTCATTAATAAATTCATGCAATTCTGCTCTGTAATTCAGATGACATCTCACGAGGCAGACTTTTTTTCATAAAGCCTGGCTTATCCTGTAGCTCATTTTGCAAGTGGCAGCTCACTTAAATCACGTCATAATGGTCTGTTATGCAGAAACGGTGTTGACTTTGGTCAGAGTCCCCCTCTATTTAGAGGTAATAAGCACTAAATAAAAACACAGTTACTTAGGATGGTTATTTTTATTCTTAAAATGATTTAAAAGAAGACAAAACTAGGTTTAAAACATGATACAAATCACTAAGTATTTTAATTCATCCATTAACAATTGTCATTTTTAAGAACCAGGATTCTCATGATCTTGGACAACCTGTATATATATAACTGCATTGACCAATCAGCATCAATGATCAATCAGTTTCATAAATTTAAAGAACGGTCCCATACACATGTGCAAAACACCCACTGACTTTAACAACCCCTGACAAACACAGACGTATCATCAGGCAGGCTGCAACAGTGTCATGCTAACAGCTATTTTGCCCAGTGCCAGTTTTTAGGAATACAGAAGGAAAAGCATCTGCCTCCAATCTCTCCAGAGGAAGCTTTTCTAAAGCCCTGGATTATGAGAACAGATTTGATTCTGCATTATGGAGACGCATCCAGTATCTAAAGCCTTACTTTGCCCTGGCTTATGACAACACTAATGTGCATCACTGCCTTGGATGCTAATGGACCTGTGGAACTGAACTCTGGGGTTAGATTATATTGTTAGTTCATAGCGGAGAAGCTGGTTATGCGACAGAGAGGCTGGTTATGTGGACGCTTCCTACTCATTTCCGAAAGACTCAAACGCCTGGCAAATGGTTGGAAGATACCTTTAGTCCCAACCAGTAGGCCCAAATGACAGCGACGGCGTGCTTACGCCTGGCTTCCTCCTTCAAGCGTTTCAGCTCTCTACGTGCCTGTGAAAGAGGGAGGAAGAAGGGGATGAATGCAGAAAGGAGAGCAATATTTGTAAAAAAGCGGAGCGAGAAGGAGCAGCATGGTCCACAGATAGGCATACATCACACACCATTACCGGCTGGTAAAGAAACTCTGTGTTTGCCGTTGGTTAAGACAGATGGACAATGTTGAGGTTTTCCTGTGGAGAGCACATTTCTTTTCATGGGGTTAACAAAACATGAGTGAGAAGAAGGGAAAAAGAGTAATAAAAGGAAAGTAAGAGTACAACTGCTCTCTTAAATGCGCACACCACACAAACACACAATAAAACAAGCCACATCAACCTCAACAAGGCAAAGGCCACTCAGATGGGGTGGGAGGAAACAGCAGTGCAGTACAATCCCAACATGCAAAGAGAAGTTCGCATGGGCTTGTGGATGGAATGAGATGATTTTTCTCATCTATAGGATACAATCTACACCAGGGATACTCAACGTCCAGCTCACAGACCAAAACCAGCCTGCCATGAGGCTACTCAGGCAATCAAAACGCTCACGTTATAATAAACCAAGACGGCAACAGGCAAGTGCATTGATTATAAAGAACTGTAGTGTTTTAATGTCACAGCATTTGTTTCAAACGGAGTCTAAAACGTGCGTAATATATTTATATTTGATTGATAATCAGATCATTTTAGGTTTTGCAATTCATCAAACCATATTTCATTTTTTACTAATCAGGATAATTTTCATCACTAACTGGTCCATCATGACACTGGCATAAACATACAAGGCTCATCAAAGACTATCTGTGGTTTTTGGTTACACATTTTAAAACAAAATTAAAATTTTATTTTATTTTACTGATTCTTAATTACCTTGCTTTTCTACAAAAAAGCCACCCAAGAAATTAATTAACAATTAATTACAACTAAAATAAATTAAAAAACGGTTTAGTCTACAATACTTTGTAAATGATAAAACTGTAATTTAATTTTTTTACAGAGTAACTTTGACAGCCTAAAATATTAAAGTAAACAAGTAAATAAATAAAAAAAGAAAACCACAGATTTATATTATATCTAAATCCTACAGTTTTCTGTAAAACTAACAAAAATGTGCATATCCCTGATTTATGCCCTTACTGAATATCGTAAGATATGACCAAACACATGGGGTCCAGACTCACTCCTAGGGAGTGCTTAATAAAATGGGACACTTGGTATGGACAGAGGCTGTGCCGGCTGTGATGCCAGCCTGCTGCGTGGGAATCGGCCTGCAGGGTGCCCGTCTGGATGAGCTTTAATCCATCGGCAATCAGAGGAAAGAGGCTTAAAAGATCACATTCAGTTCTGCCCTCAACGCAACACACGCCGACCCTGCTCTCCCGGTTCCCATCCTCTGCCATCCCATTCATCTTATTTCTACAATCGGCTACAATGCAAGTATGATTCATGCTGTGGGATCCTGAATGTGTTGGCATGCACAATGGATGGGATGAGCTCAGGGAACATGGGTCATGATCCACCTCAGGTACACATGGAGGTGTGAGATGGGTTAAATGGAGGATGGGATGCCATACAGACATAGTGGTGAATACCTTAGTTCCTTGCCAGCAGGCCCAAATGACAGACACGGCCTGTTTACTGCGAGCTTCATGCTTTAATCGCCGCAGTTCCCTCCGAGCCTGTTCAGTGTGCCATTTTTTTTTTTTTAAGAAAATGAAGAAGAGGATGGTGGAAAGGTATTAAGCACAGACATTAAAGAAAAGACAAGAGTCTTGTAAATCAGGACATTTTTAGAGAGACAATAACTTGTTAAAAGTACTATTCTTGTTAAAATAAGTTGTCATTCGTGCTTATCAGCCCTATTAATGTAACATTCAAATGACTAAACTGACCTTCGTCAGGTCTTGTCCTGTAAACATTTATATCAGCATATAGGCCACATCTTTTATCGTTTTAATTGTGACACTGAGAATAACTATATAGCCAGCCGGACAGACATCAGTCACTTTTTAAAAACAAATGGCTTGCTGCGAGATAATAGTTGGTAGGTGTATTTATCAGAGTTGACAATGCAGTTCAATTAATGGTGGGGGGGGGGGTTTGATTTTTTTTTTATTGTTAGGTGCTTATCAGCCCTATTAATGTAACATTCAAATGACTAAACTGACCTTCGTCAGGTCTTGTCCTGTAAACATTTATATCAGCATATAGGCCACGTCTTTTATCGTTTTAATTGTGACACTGAGAAAAACCAAAAATTATTTATTTTTATTGTTAGAAAACAGCTCAAAATATTACATCTATTTCCATTTTAATTTTAAATTAGATTTTTATTATGCTATTACAAGTGGACATTTTGTGGTACTCTCTCACATAATTTAAATCAGTTGTGATGGCTGTTTATTCTCCCACTGCCTTAGAAATATGTCTAATAATTGTCAAGTTAAAAAAAAACAATCAGGTAATTTGGGGTTTAGATTGATTCTGCATCGGCATAATTAGCCCAAAGCAATGGCGTAATTGTTTTGTTTCAGCACTTGTGTCATTTTGTTGGACTTATTACATTTCTGTTAAGTGACTCATTCCTCAAATTCCTCAAACTTTTGTTATAAATCACAGTGAGGGTGTGGCCAATACCGTTCAAATTCAAAACTAATCAGCTCTGACTGAACCTGAGGTTGTAAAAAGTTAAAATAAAATCAAAGATTATGAATGTCATGAAGGTTTAAAAAAAGTGCAGTAGAACAAAGTCAGTATAGTCTTGAAACTTTAAAACATGAAAGCAGAAACATATAAGCATTTTTTTCAATATTGTTACGGGTTATGAAGTAGAAATCGAAATGGGTTCGTTTTAAGAACATAAGATTCATACATGCACTCAAATTCATACACCTTTTCATATTTAGGTACAGATGTTTCACCATCTGCCACCACCATGTCAGCAAAAGAACAATATGTTAGTATTTCCCGATTATTTCGCATAAGATGCTACCTACAAGATGATAAAACGGTTAGTCAAAAGCAAACAAAAGGGATGCCATTCACAGCTTGGGTGAGGCGGGATGGGAGATGACTACGTTTGGCAGACTCTTTAAATACCTTAGTTCCAAGCCAAGCTGCCCAAATGACAGACACGGCGTGTTTATTCCGTGCCTCCTCCTTAAGACGCCGCAGTTCCCAGCGAGCCTGCGGATGTTAGCCGAGGAGGGCCACGTGGAAGCAGAGACAGGATGGCAAAGGTTAAAGTCAGAAATATGACAAGAAGAGAGTGACCGAAAAGAGTAAGTCGCATCAAAAGCAGAAGTGAGATTAGGACTTAAGGAGAAAAACAAAGCAAAAGCAGTGGAGAAGCTCCGGCATTGAAAATCTAACCACACAATTCACCATTTCCTTTTTCAAGAAGAAACGGTGTTCAGTACCTGAGTTCCATGCCAGTAGGCAGAAATAGTTGTGACGGCCTCTTCGCACCGCTTCTTGTGTTTCAGCTCACGCAGAAGCTTCCGGGCCTGTGAAAAGGGGGTTACACAGTGAGGAAAGCCCTTTGTTTGCTAAAGGAAATGACATGCAGTGCACCTGAAACCTACCTTCCATCCTCGGATGAATGATTGTAACACTAAGGCAGAGGACCTGATGTTCTGGTACTTCTTTTGTTGCTACAATCAAAAACAACCAGCAATCTTGAGTTTAAAAAAGTTCCACTTCTGATCCCAGAAACAATGAATCATATTAAAAACAATTCATGTTTTTTTATGGCAGATGTAGTGAATGGTGCTCACCGCAAATCTTCGGTACCAGGCGGCCACCACCACCTGGCTCTTCTTCAACAGGAGAAAGTGAGTGCGGCACTTCCAACCACGGTAGATCTTCTGGATGAGGGTTGCCAGATCCTCTAGGCACTGCCTCCTCTTCTCTTCCAAGAAGAAGAGCTGAAGAAAAAAAATCAGTATCAAACACAAAATCAGCCTTTTACAAACCTGATATAAACCACACCCATATCCACATCTCCGTTCAGTTTCAAACACAACATATGCATTAATGTATAAAACTTCCTTTATTGCTGATGCATCTCAGCACCACACTGACACGTCATGGTGAACAAGAGCCAAGACATTAAACAAAGGTTTCCGTCTTCTCTTTCCATACTTTCAGCTGTTGGCATTGTGCTGATGGCTACGTCATTACTTTAGCAACTGATGTAGATAAACATTGTATGAATGAACGGATCAGATTTCATCACTTGCAAAATGATAGTGCAGACAGTCTGTCGCAGATTTGAACAAGATCGGATTTGAAAAACAAATCAGATCTGTGTGCAGTGTGAGCAAGCAAGATACATGATCAAATTCCCAAGGATAAGACCGTGAGAGCCACAAATTTGATATAGAGAACTTTTGTGAGACCACATGATGTCCTTTTTATATGCCACAGGATTCTGATGATGATCGCCAAGACCAGCAAAATAAATTCCAGCCATAGTGGGACCAGCATCCTCTGGTATTAAGTAGCTGTTGACAGTGTCTGCCAAATTGGTCTGAACAAAATTTATATAGTTATAGAGTTAAAGGCAGAGTAAGCGATTTCTAGTAGCCAATGTTGATATTTTAAATCACCAAAACAAACACGCCCCTACTTTGCCCCTATTTTGATAGCTCCGCCCCACATATACGTACACAACCCAGGCAACGATTAGTTCTGTGAAACAAAGCAAAACCAATGTTACACCGTGTCTACGGACTCTGGAGTTTTCAGCACAGAAAGGTGGTTCTGGGCAAGAAAACTTGGTGCTTACCCTTTTAAAGCAGCTGGGTTTCTTGAACCAGGAATTGCTAATGTCAGAGGCCAACAGCAACAACTCTATACTAAACTAGTTCCCTTACATTGTAATCAATAAACTGGTCTAAATAGGTTCGACAAATGGGACAAATGGTTAAAATAAATTCTCAAATCCTGGAGTAAAGGTGCGGTCACATCATTGCAAGTTGCAAAATTTTGTGGCAAAAAAGGTCCATTGGCAATAGTGTTGTGACGTATGAAGCACAGCTTACACAAAAGCCACTTTCAAATCGAGCAGCTTTTTGTTGGTCAACACAGTGGATTTGTGTGAACAGCTTGAACACGAGAAAAATCTGTGAGGAACTTTTCATTGTCAGGATTGTAGGGTTGAAATTACTGGATTATGCCTGCAAAATTTCACTGAGCAACGATAAATGTGACCGGACCTTTAGACTCGTATCCAAAGATTGTGATGCGCTGCTTGTCTGTGGCCAGGTTATGTAGAAACAAAGTCTATTACATCATTGAGTTTGTAGATCCCTTGTCCAAGCACCGGCTCTGGCACCAACAACATTTCGGCGGAAAAGAGGTGAAAGATGACTAGACTACATTAAGGCTGGGCAGAAGTCATCCACTGGCTTTGAACAAACATCTGTAGATGGTAGATTATGCAGGAGGAATGGACAAGGATAAGATAAATGCTCCACACAGTGCTCAATTGATGACTGACGCCCAGGCTTCAATACAGGGGTTTCATGGGCTCCTCTGGAATTTCTCAGCTGGAGTCTCGTTTCCCATGCAAACTGACAAATAGTGGAGGGGGGGATAAGTGAAACCATGTGTGTGACTGCCTGTTTGCGTTTCTTTCTTTCATGAGGGCGATTGCTACTAATTAAACAAGAGAAGCCTGAAGGAACATGACTTCCTGCTTTAAAAGCCTTACAAAACCCTTAAGAGACCATACGTAATACTTGCATTGGCCTTTTGATTCCTCATAATAAAACGTACAAATCCAAGCCATCCGCCATGCTGGAACTGGAAAAGAACCAAATGATATATTCGCCATGTTTCTCACAAGGACAGCGCCGTCTTCTGTATAACTGCATCAAGATTACACTCAATGATCTTTAGGGCAATAACTCACTCACCGTTCTTGGGTTCCTGATGAAGATCTTTGAACGTCCATAGGCAAAGTCCTCAGCACGAACCTGCAGATTTTTCAGGAGAACCTCGACACCCTCCCTGATAAGAAAACAGGCCATGAGTTGTCAGTGAAGCATGCCATTTACAAAAAAAAATTATTTGGTAGGTCCAAAAGTCTGAGACCACTTGTGAAAATGCTTCTAAACAACAACTTAAGCATTAAAAAAAATTAAAAAAAAATCACCTGATCTTTTAAAAAGAGAAATTCTTTAAAAAGAGAAACACTTGAGCTGACAAGGGCACCAAAGGTTTTCATTTTTTAATATGCTTTTGGAAGATGCTTTTATGCAAAGCAACTTCTAGTTATATATTTTGCGAATATGCTCATTCTCTGGGAATTGAACCCACAACCTTGGCATTGTTAGTGCCACACTCTGACAGATCTACACACGATCAAGATTGCAAATAGTGCAGAATATTTATTTATATTACCAGGTTAAAAAAAAAAAAACATCTGTTATTTTCAGTGCAGTTTCAGACTGTGGACTGAATACACCCACATCACTGAACAGACAGCTACAAAATAAGTCAGACAGGAGACAATAAAACAAAGTAAAGGTGCACCGTATGATTTAGCACAGAAACATGCACCATGTGAGTGATAACAAACAGTGTCTGAGTGATCTGAATGAAAAGTAAAACACAGTCTAACCACTGTCGGCATAGAGACGATAACAACATTCCAATGCAAGATAACATGATAAGATGTGCAACTCCAAAATCTCCATGAACACTAAAGATTCTCCTATCAAAACATTTAGTGAAATGACTCAGTGTCCAGAAGTGACATAGTTATGAGGCCCAATTCTGTCTTGGCATGTTTGCCATCATACAGAAGTAAATAAAATAAAAAAGGCCCGTTTTCTGTAGCCAAGCGGTGTTAAAGAAACCGTTAAACCTGAAAGGAATGAAGGGAGATTTAAGACAAGAAACAGCATGTTTAAATATCTACGAATGAGTATAAAAAAGGTCATGCAGGTGGATGTACAGTCACTTAAAGATTTGCTTAATCTCAAATGTGATGACAGTATAACGACATCAGCTGAACAACATGTTCAGAAAAACAGTGAAGCCTGAAGAAGAGTTCTTTAAAACAACACAAAAAACACAAGATCATTGGTGGTCTAACCTGGCTGGGCCCTTCCAGTGGGGCCAGGTCTGCTTGCAGAGCATCTTGTAGCGCTCCAGACAGGGCTCGTAGGGCTGGCGGAAAGCATAACCAGCCCTTCTTACGCGTACATTCTCCATCAGACCCAAATAGCGCGCCTGGTGACACACTAGTGAGTCTGTGAAAATGTGGGCTGCTTTCTTGTCATTGGGTTTGATGCACCTGAAAAACAAGTTATATATATATATATATATATGGTTATGTCATAATGAGGTCAGTGTCAGAGTCAGAAGCTTTGTGATTGTTACCTGATGTAGTTGGGGTTCTTGGTCAGAAGGTTCTTCATGAGTGTTCCAACTGAGGCTCTGAACTGGAATCCAGCTGTAGGGGGCCGCTTGAGGTTCACTTTAGCTGGGTTTCCCTCAGGAAAGAGAATCTTTATCAGGCTGTGATTGGCTTTGTACATGGCTTGGGATAAATCTCTGTAGAGGAGGTCATTGTTTTTGTCCACGAATCCCTCCACCCGATACAGCACCTGTGTATACAGAATATTACATTCAATAACTCTTCTTTACACACTACTCAGATCTTCATAATGTGCTTATTTCTGAAAACACACAATTTGGGTTGGAAGCATTTATTCAAGTAAATCTCTCTGATTAGTGTAAGCTGGATCCCTCTGGCTTCTCCCATCATCATTATAATTATTACAAATTTTTGTCATTTTGAACAGCTGTAACTCTGTTTACAGACTAAGAAAACTCAGCAAATTTTGCATTTATAAAGGGCATGTGGCCAATTATGTTGTTGCCATTTTTGCAACAAATGAGATCTGGATGCAATGTAAACGTAAAAAAAAAAATTCAATGTTGCATGTGGGTTATTCTTTAAAGAACTGAGATCATCTCCACAAATTAGCAAAAGAACACAAATGTAATTCACATAAAACATTGTATATAAAATTATTGTGACCATGTGATGCACAGTTAACATGGCAGTGTATGTAAAACTAAAAATGTTGATGGGATGTTGAAACGCTTTATGGTCTCACCTTGCCAGCGTAGTGCTGGATGCGGAAGCAGTTGTGTGGTAGGCTGTGGTCTGTGAGGAACTTGGAGTTTTTGCTCTGTCTGCTCTCAAAATGCTGGTGTTCAGCACAAACGGTGTTCAACTTGTCCAGGAAAGTCTCATCTGTCACTGTGCCTGGCCTCAAACACTCCTCATCCAACATGGCCAAAATCCCATTCTTGTTCTGAAAACAAGAATTATGGTAATCATATCAAACACAACATATTAAAAACCTGAAATTGTAGATTTGTGGGTATTAAACCATATCTGTGAGCTTTGAGGTGATCGCTATGCTTGTCTCCTCCTTTAAGCTGAACTTCTAGTAGATATCCCCATTTAATTCTTATAGTAAATATTAATGCCAATACAAAACTATTGTCAGATACACACTCACATTTTCAATGAGGTCACATATGATGGCGTTGTTGAAATACTCAATGTTGGTCCACTCAATACCCTGTAGACAAAAACAAAGGTACATCACAGATTTGTTTTGTTTCCTTTCCATCAGTTTTCTCTTTCTAAAGAAGGATATTCCTAGAACACTGTCTTAAGTCTAATCTTGTAGATTCAACAGACAAACCTGAGTGGTTTAGGAAAGATGCAGACAAGCTTTACTATACTTGAACAGGTACACAACAGATATCCAACAACGAATAGGAGTAGTCCTGTCACGATTATTACATAACTGGCTGAGTGCAACAACAATATTAACATTGATTGATAGATTATTATTATTATTATTCATTTTAGCTATAAGGTTAATGTGAATGAATGACATGCACTGAAGATAGAGGGGAACAATTAAATGCAGTTAATAGTATGACAATTACCAACTATACTGCCACACACAACAATAATTTCTATAAACGTATACAGTTCAGTTATGTAATTCAACCCATGAATACACTGAAGATGGCTGGATGTCCATGTTGTTCCATGTCATGACCGTTTCTGTGATATTTAGGGTCAGGAGTGCAGACCCGTTTACAGCCCATTAGAGAAAGATGGAACCCACTGGATTTAAACAACAAATCAGAGCCAATCAAGTCAATGAATGTAACAAGCTGGAAAATAGCTGTGGGCTAATTGGACTGTGTGAAAGCTCCTCAAACTAGGAGGTAGATGTATGCAGGAGGAGGGTTCAAAAATGGGGAATGTGGAATGTGGATTGGGGCAGACTGGTCCCTAGACCCCTGCGTCCCTCCTCGGTCTTCAGAGCAGCGGTAATTTCCCATGCACTCTACTGGAGTGAAGCCAGAGAGTGGAATATTACAGGGCACATACTCAGAGCTCTGAAAGCAAACAGAGCTCCAAGCTCTTCAGGGACAATTGTGTTTACCCTGACTGGAGTGAGGGATTGTTTCCGTCCCCACAACCACAGCGCGAAAGGGGAAGGATTGATAGAAGGAAGCAAATAGTAGACAAAGGCTGTTTGGAAGAAAACACTAGCTTACTACATACGCCATACCGCGCAATAAACTCTGTATATTAAACAATTTAAAAAAGCAAGTGGATGGATGTATCCGAAACTAGGAATGCTGCCTTTGCACTGGTGACTGTTCACGATATATCCCACAATCCTATGTGTGCAGGATTGTAGTTGACAGAAGTCAAATAATTCATAAATGACCATTATTATTTTTTTCATTTAAATTCCATTTTTAGAAAGACATTTCTTTATTATGTATAAAAAATGTTCTACAGCAGTAAACATGATGTTATGGTACCTGTCTGAAAGCACTTTCCTTCCAAGGTAACTTCATTCAAAAACTGTTAGAGTTGCAGAAGTTGAGAGAAGACCATTTCCTATTTGTCTTCATGTACTGGCTTGTTGCTTACCTCACGGATATACTCCTCCTGCTCTTCGCGGAGAGTAAGCTCGATGAAGATTTGCTGGAGCTTCTCATTGCAGTAGTTGATAATGAACTGTTCAAAACTGTTGTCCTGCAGGAACAAAAAGATAAATGAGAATCCATAGACCAAATGAAAACTGTGGTAATTAAAATGTACACTGCAAACTAAAACAGCACTGCAAACAGGCGCACTAATATGGCAACCATCACTCAACGTTATTTACTAAACACCTTTCTCTAGGTAACTCTATAAGCTGGATATATTGGAAATTTTGGTGACTTTGGGGAGGAATGTCAAAAATATATATACTTCAGAAAATCTGTAAATATTTGTTGTTTTCCCTAATATAATACCATCTCTAAACTAAGTCGTCCCACTGAAGCTCTGCAACAATGTATGCTCTTACTTCAGCAAGCTTCGCATTGGTTTGCTGCCAAAATGGCACTCTGCAATTCATGATAGGGAAACTGGAGAAAATTCACATGCAGTTGTTTAGTGCCACCCATCTTTCATTCTTAACTGCTGTTCGATGGAACTCTGACAGATGAATGTACATACGTTTCTGGTGAAAACGTTTGGTGTGACACCCACAACCAAAACAGAATTGTTTAAAATAGTATTGTGGGGCACCGCCTTAAAGAATTCAGAGCAAATCACTTGTAGAACACATGTAAAATAGCCCCGAACAAAGTCTGCTCTTACAAAACAGTAAGATCTCTATAGCTAAGATTAAATGAAGGCGTAACATGGTACAATATACATCAAGGCTGCATAATCTTATCTGCATCTCTTGATGGAGGTGAAGTCTTTAACCTCTTCACCCACAGTAAATGTTTTCAGGTTTACAAACGCAGGGTTAGAAAACCCCAAATCAGTGAACCAACTCCATTGTTGAATTAAAGCAAGAGTAATACTCAATGTTATGCTCATTGGCTTATGATAAACAGTTAGGATTGTACTATTTAGCCATGACACTGGGGTTCAGGAATTATTCAATCTATTTTTAATCTTTATAGCAATCCTACTGCATGATAGTCTCTGCAACTAAAGCCACTGCAATAATCAGTTCCAATGGGCTTGGCTTGAGAAAAAACCCAAAATGACTTCCAAAAGGCAGCAAATGAAAAAAAGCACCATTGTTTTACTTGGCACTGGCAGTTTTATTCTGGCAGCCTTTGCTGAGAGGCCACACTGGCATGTCAGCCTGGATCTGCAGTGTTCTAGAAGTAATGAGAGGTAACCCTGTTCAAAGAATAACCTCAACATCTCTTACATTTTCTGAAGCCCCAAAAGCTCAAAAATCACTGCAGATCTCTGGCTGGTTTCAGTGAAGCTTAAAGAAATACTTCACCCAAAAATGAAAATTGAGTCATGCTAAATCACCCTCAAGCTCCAAAAAAACACTATAAAAGAACCATACAAATAGTCTGTATTACTCATGCAATATATTCAAAGTCTTCTGAAGCCATATGATATGGGTTTGGAACAACTTGAGGGTGATAAATAATGACAGAATTGCCCTTTCTGGGTGAACTGTTCCTTTAAGGTCTTCCAAGTTTAGGATGAATGGAGCTAATGCTGTAACATCAAGCGTACAGGTCATACTAATACTACTAGGAAACACTTCAGGGTTTTGCTCTAGCAGTGGTTTATGCTGCGGAGATACAAGATCAGAATTAAGACTAGGATTAAGTGCTAAAATCGCAGCATGCACACAGCCGTGGGATTTCCTCTGCAGGTCTACTTACTCCATTCTGTCGTCATGGCCACAACAACATAAACAACATTCAGGAGAGAGTGATACAGTCAGACAGCAGAACACATGCAATGGACAAATGTAAACCAAAATGGTTGAAAGGTGAATTAGTAGGCCTGAGAAGTAGTTCTCTGCATTACGGTAAACACTTGTGGGATTTAGTATGACAACAATGATAAAGTCAGCAACATAAATAACTTTAAGAAAATAATGCATGCATGTGCAATTCTGTATTTAAATTTACAGACACAAGTTCACAAGTTCTCAAATTCACAAGTTGCGCATAGGTATTAAGTGGCTGGAGGTGCATTGTAAGTGTGTCAGTCTAGAAATGCAGGATACTTTTCACCAACATGCAAAAATTATGTTTACTGTATTTGTATGTGTGTGTTCAGTCTGGAAAACTGCCTTTGCACGCACTGTGCACGCATCTGATATAGATCAACAGGTGGTGATGACATGAATTTGATGAGAAATCGTTTTCAAAATTCCAGACCAAATCACTCACCTCAAAGATTTCAAAACCATAAATATCCAGGACTCCCATTACTTTCTTGTGTGTTTTGGTTTGAGCCTGATCAAAAAAGAAGAATGTGAGTTACAAGGCAGAAACCAACTCGCTCTAAACACAAATATGTGAAATAGTGCTAGCATGGTTATAAGCATGTCTTGAGTAGTTTCACAGAGTATGATTCAAGCTTTATTTACTGTTGTTTGGCAAATTTTCACAGGCAAAATCCAGGGAAAATTCAAATTCATGCAATCTGGAATTTCGTGTCAGGGTGAAATATTTCACCATACATATTTTGCATCACAAATTTGATGCGTTTGAAAATGACTTATGTGTGAGTTGTACTTCATACTTTGCTACACTATTGACAATAGTCCTTTTTTGCTCATAAAAGTGCAAAATTTGTGTTACTGTGACTTTACAGCAAACAACAAAGATTCAGTGAAAATCCAGAGAGACATACCTTGATGCTTTCATTGATTCGGTTCACCAGCCAGCTGAACAGTCGGCTGTAGAGGTTTTTGGCAAGAGCATCACGAGCGTAATAGGCCTGAAATAGGAGAAGTCTCAAATTACAATCAATGTCCTGAACATCTGAATTACACATTATCTATACAAGCAAAAACATATTGATTAATCTCTAGTTCCAACTTCCTCCATGTGTCATGGCTGTAACAAAATTATCCCACATGTAAAGACAAAATTGTTTTTTGAGCTCATCATGTGGCCTGGATGCAAAAGCTTTGAGGTAGAGACCTGCGCGGGACGGATTTTTCAGTCCCGCTCCCGCAAGATTCTGTCCCGCGCCCACCCGCTCCGTGTGCTGACCTGAGCCACGTTGAGTGATGTGGACACCTTCTCCATCTTGGCCTCAACGGTACGGAAGCTGAACGCTCTTTCCAGCACGGACTGCTCAATGCCCAGCAGCTCACACATCTCTTTCAGGTCTGGGACAGGAAATGCAAAACAAACCCAGGCAGATCAGATTAAAGAATTATTTATGGATAGACTAGACAGTGTGTTATGTAATTTAAACAAATTTGCCAATTGCCAAAGATAAACATAAACCCTCTGACTCTTACGTTGAGAAAAGAAAAAAAAAAACCTCTATAAAACATCTTTAGTGTATTTAAAATTAAAACCAACAATCATTCTGATCAAAGGCCTTTCTCTCAGAATCTAGAGGTCAAGGTAAAGACTGATACATGTTAAGCCCCTTTCAAGGAGTTTAAGCTGAAGAGTATTTTAAAATCGCTTCTTCTCTAGGGGTTTTGAGAGGATCTGGACATCAGGTATACAACCACCTCATCCCACAGCAGCTCAATCTGTCTCATTTCAGCCCATAGCTATCAGGTCAAAAGGGCAGAGAAAGCACATTATTGCTAATGGGTTTAAACACAGGAGACAAACCAGACGCTGTAGTCTATATAAATGGAGGTGTTGACATGGATTGTGATGTTTAGTCTGGGCCGGCCACTGCCCTGGCTATAGGAAACTACTAGAATATGCAGTGATAAGTAACACTCATTTGCAGCACATATATTTGGGTAGTTGACATAACTTTTTTTTAATTATTATTTATTTAGCATTAAAATTTTAGGTTAAACTTTTTGGTTTCCCATGAAAATTATTTGGAGCTGTTTCAGGCCTGTAAATGTTTTTGCATTATTTTGAATGCGTTCATTTGTTCATTAAACTGTGGTAAACTTATAGGAGAATTTGAAAATAATTTTAGATTATTTCTAGGACATAACAGAACACATTTGTCACTGCTTAAAATATTATATCCTTTACCTGTTAATCAAGAAGGCATTTATCTGGCTTTACAAATACATACAAACTGTTTTATCATTATCTTATGCATTCATGGTACAGGATGCAAGGGTTATCTGGGTAAGTACCAGTGCGGTGTTGATTGACTGTGTACAACCAACTGCAAGCTAATACTGTAAATGACTCTTGACATATCAATAGATGGCAGTAGTGGCCAACCTGGTGAGCAGATGAAGGCACTGTTATATACAAGACCACAGTACCTGCTATTTCACAATTCATATTAATTTGGTTTTCAGTGCTTGCAAATGTTTATGTCATTGTATCATTAATACTGATTGTGATGTCTGATCATTCACACTTGAAAGTTTCTTGGGAAGTGTACTTTCCTTTACAAACCAAAAGTTTAAAAAACTAATGTAAGGTTTGCATCGGCAATGCTTTTTGGAAGAGCCTAGCACTCACCGTTCTTGTCCTTGATTCGACTCTCATCGAAGCCATTGCAACGAGACTCTGGTTTGAACTCGATGTTTCCCAGTTTGAGAACAGCAGCCACCAGCTCCAGTATTGACTGAACCTCATCCTCCATGAAGCCCACAATTTGCATGGCATTCTGGGAAAACAGAAGAGAAAATACATTTAGTCAATAGTGGTCTGCTGATGGACATTTAACATGGCATTACATATGGTGGCGTCTGTAAAGTGATTGACTGGCCCGTAACCACACCACTAATGGACAGCCTGAGGGTGTTGAACAGAAATGTCCATCACACCACAGTCTGTCAAAGAGAAAAGATTAAGGATTGCAGCTGGTCTTAAGAATAACTTGTATTTGACAGCTTTAAAAATCAAGGAAAAAAATATATTTATTTTATTTTTTGTGGACATTGTCTCATGATCTCAATTCAACCATAAATATGGGAAATGTTCTTAACTCAAAACACATTTTATTTCTTTATTTATATATTTTGATTTTGGAGTAAAATATGACATGAGATTCACCTTAAAGGGATCCACAAATGAAAATAATTTCATAATTTACTCACCCCCATGTTGTTGCAAACCCATATGAATTTATTTGTTCTGTTGAACACAAAGATATTTTGAAGAATGTTGGCAACCAAACAGTTGCTGGAATGAGTTCCATAGTACTTTTTTCTGTACTATTAGTCAAGTCAATGGCTACCAGCGACTGCTTGGTTATAAACCTTGTTTTCAAAATAACTTATTTTGTGTTCAACAGCTGTACAAGTTTGGAACAGCTTTAGGGTAACCAAATGATGACAGAATTTTCATTTTTGTGCGAACTATTCATTTAATATTGTTAATTTATGGGTGTACAGGGAAATAAGTAACAGATTTTTAAATTTTTACAGTAGATTTAGCCAATAGAATCATCAGCAGCTTATGATTTATCATGTTCCTTGTGCTTCCACAATAGCTTGTGTTCATATTTGTTCTCGTGAAGCCATAAATTACGTTCAAAATGTCATGGAATCACTGATAATAAACGTGCAAGCAGTTCACTGGCAAAGTCAATGGTCTAAAGGTCGGAGATAACAGTGAGTGAGCTGTAAGGGGCTGAAATGTGACAGCTAAAAGTGAATGACAACCCAATAACTTTCTATATCTCTGAATAAATAGTAACACAATTTAATACTTCCAGAGTGTAAACACTCTTATATATATTTTTCTTTTCTTTCATGTTAACAAGACAAGCATGTCGTGTCTCTAAGAATGAACGTTCTGCTGAGTTTTGTATATTATTTACAGCCTAGCATAAATAGAAACCATCCTCCCTCGTGGAAGTGTTTACTGTCTCCTACACACAGAGCCTTATTTATGCTTAACCTTATAAACTACAAATGTCTACACTGCAAAAAAAGGCCTGCTTCTAATTAATTAGATTTGACTCCCCAGGCAAGAGGTTAAAAGACAGAGCCAGAGGCCCAGCACATGCTGAGTTAGGATGTTCAGATGTCAGCAAGGAGCTTGGCTTAGGCCTATTGTTCATCAGAACTGCACTGTATTGTCTGATACGGTGCTGAATTCTGACCAGTTTAATGTGGGCTGCATTGTTTGCTTGGACACAGACATTCTGCACTCATTTCCAGAAGACAAGCAAAGAACAGGGCTCCACAATAAGGATGACCCAAAGGTCCGGGCCCAAACAAAAAAAGTTTCGGGCTAGTTGATGGAAAAGTCACTCGTCTTAACGGGCCAGAAAATAAAAAAAAGGCAGCAACACTGTCAAAAATATAATATTCAAGCACATTATGCATTGCTTCCTGGGTTTTCCCAGTGTAAATACACTACTTTTCAAGTTTGGGGTCAGTGAAGTTGCATTAAATTGATCAAAAGTGATGGTAAATAATTATTTAATGTTACAAAAGCACAACTATTGCAGCACAACTGTTTTCAACACTGAAAATAATAATAGATGTTTTTGAGCTCAAATCAGCATATTAGAATGATTTCTGTAGGATAATGTGACTCTGAAGACTGGAATAATGACGCTAAAAATTCAGCTCCGCTTCACAGGAATAAATTACATTTTAAAATATGAAAATAGCAAACAATTATTTTAAATTGTAATCATTTTTCACAATATTACGGTTTTCTGTTTTACTGTATGGTTGATCAAATAAATGCAGCTTTGGTTGAGCATACAAGACTTCTTTCAAAAATATTTAAGAAACTTACCAACCCTTAGTGACTTTTTACTGTTAGTGTAAAATTATAGCTATTTGCTTTTTTTTCTTTTTCTTTTTTAATGAAAAAATACATTTTCTTCAATACATTCCAGATGCTTCTAAATGGCAGTCACCTTGTTTATTTTACAGTTAGTGACCAACTAACAACTACCCTTTACTTTATCCCTTACATAATTTACAGCTATTATTGGAAATTATAAACCCTTATGAAAGCTAACTTCCAAAAATACTTGTCATTTAAAATTTTTTTTAATCTGCCTGGTTAAATAAATAAATAAAAAATAGATAGTAAAACATTTTTCTATAAGTCAGAAGCAAAATATGTTTAAACAAATATATAATATTGTAATATTTTTTTATCTCCAGGCCAGTGAGGCAAGAGTCCAAAGGAAGCAAAACTACTGGCTCAACAAGGCTTGCAGAAATCAACCCTTATTGTTAAACTTTGCAACGACAGTCCATCCTCCGCATGACCCGTTTTCACAATGACAATAAGTGTGTGCATGAGAAAAACAGACGCACTGATTCCATTTATACATGTCAGCTGTGAGCAGGTGGAATTCCCCCTTAAATCAACTTCCCTGTCTTCAAGTAGAGGCTTGGATGAAGCTCAAATTACATAATGACACAATGCAAATTGTTTTGTTCAGACCAAACTCCACCTCAGTGGGTAAAGGGTGATCTTATCCAGTTAAGCCAGGGAGATAACATGCTTTGCTAACTTCTCATCATACAGGGTGCCATGGATCTGAGCTAATCCCAAGACAGTCTGAACCAATGACACATGCTATAATGTGTCAGGAACCTGCTACTGTATGTAGTGTATGGCAGGCCTGAAAGAAAACTTACTCTAACTGTTCTGAAACTGGCAGCATCGTCCAGTCCATTGACTGTTGCCGAATCCAGGCTAAGGTAGTTGTATTTGCTGAAGTCTCGGTCCAGCTTCAGTTTTTCTGAAAGAAAAACACAATTAGAGCATTAAAGGCAATTCACTTGTCAACCATCTTTGATGCAAGTTCTCCAATTTGTTTTTCTATGAGTGGTCACTCTTTGTACTGTCCCTTTATACCATGGGTGTCCCATCCTACTCCTGGTGGGCCAACATCCTGCAGAGTTTAGCTCCAACCAGCTCCAATACACTCGCCTGGAAGTTTCTATTGAGTCTGAAGACCTTGATTAGCTGGTTCAGGTGTGTTTAATTAGGGTTGGAACTAAACTTTGCAGGACGTTGGCCCTCCAGGAGCAGGATGGGACAACCCTGCTTTATACTCCCCTTAGTTTCGATGTATCGGCCATTCCATAAGACCCAGTTGCTATCAGATTATGTTACATCTATGTTGTATTCTGCTCAGCTTACCCCTTTGATGCCTGAAATCAAAGCCTTTTATTGTGTTCTCTTTCATTAAAAATGTCAAACAATGACCATGGTTCCCAAACACAATGGTTCCCAACCCTGGTCCTGGAGGCATCACAAAACTTCACATTTTGCATGTATCCGCATCCCAACACTTCACATTTTGCATGTCTCCTTTCTCTGACACACCAAATTTCAGGTCTTTGAGTCTCTACTGATGACCTGAATCAGGTGTGTTTGATTAAGGAGACATGCAAAACATGCAGTGTTGGGGTGCCTCCAGGACCAGGGTTGGGAACCACTGGTCTAACAGTATGCAAATAAACCACACATGAACCATAAATTCTGTTCCCAGAGTCTTTAACTCGGGTATGTTTCAGTGCAATCCAGCAATCTTTTCCACACCATGTTCTGAAAGCCACTGAATGAATTGTGCGTTGGGAATGCACATGTAATCATACAAACTCTGTAAGTGGTCTCTTACTGAGCGTGTCATCTGATGCTCCAGAAAGCAGCTGGTAGAAGATGTGGAAATTCCTCTCGCCCCTGGGCTGCTTTACCACACGGGATTTCTCCAAGAGATCTGCGAAAGGGAAATATCAAAGCACAAAACATTTCATGAGCATACACAGCTGACTCAGCTTAAACAGGGAGCAACAGAAGTGTTTCTGAGGTAAAAAATTCCACTCATTTTATCCACAGAGAGAAAGTTAAGATAACGTTTAAACTTAAAAGACAGGCCTAACATGAGCTACAAGGCTGTCATGCACACAATTTGTTTTCAACTTCATAAATAAATAAATGTTAATTGTGGAATTCCCAGTGAAGAGATACACACAGATGCAACTGGCTATAGACAATTCTCTCCTACTCCTACTCTGAACAGCCATTTCAGAGAAAAACAAAGGTGTTTTCCTGTTTATATCAGAATGAATATTTAGGTATCCATGGTGAAGTTTTCATTGTTCATCGTATTCAGATTGAGACAGGAAGTCTCACAGGAGATATTCATCTATGGGGAGAGGAACATAGTCACACCACCCACGCTCCATCCAGATGTGTGCCCATTAGAAAACAGCAGCATCAGCCCAAAACCTTGATTACCTTATCATCAACAACATTTATTAGCTTGATATGAGATAAGACATGAAGCATTGTTTATATGACCACGCTCCATCCAGATGTGTGCCCATTAGAAAACAGCAGCATCAGCCCAAAGCCTTGATTACCTTATCATCAACATTTATTAGCTTGATATGAGATAAGACATGAAGCATTGTTTATATGAGCAACAAAAATTATGCAGCAGTATTATAATTACTGATAATTCTGATAACACCTGACAAAGCACCAATAAAACCTTTTTAGACAGTTCAAACTCACTGACAGCTGCACTAAGACATGCATAGATAAGTATGTATATTGGGTCATATAAATTAAAATGATTCAATAGTCAATCTTTTAGCATAAATGTATGAATATTCAAAATATACCATCAAAAGTCTACTTCTATAGTATGAGGCCCTAAATGACAATTTATCATCAAATAACTCAATTTAACTTCTGTATTGGAGGAAACTAAAATGCCCATGTTACTTTTTTTTTGGTTCATTTATAAAAGCAAGATGGGAATGAGCAGTTGTCACTTCCTGTTTTATCTGATGCCTGTCACAGCAGTGGCTTAGTGGCTGTGGGCCACAAGCTCATTAATACTTTATAGCCCCATTACAGATCCCCTGTTGTGGAATCTACCTCAACAATAATCAAACACTAAGGAGTATCCTTTGTCTCTCTTTCCCCTAATCTTCTCCTTTAACTTCCAGAGATAAATCATGCTGTCTGGTGTAAGAGTAGAGTCTGAGGCAGGATGAGTCTGAGGAATGCAGGAAAACTTCAGCCCTGAGGGGACTCCACTCTGACCTTCCACCTTCTGCACACTCGCAGACCTTTGTTATTGCTTTAACACAACTCCAGTAATGGCCAGTAACTTCTGTCCTCCACTCAAACATTAGAAGTCGTTCTTCTCTGCATTGCTTTGAATTGACTTACTCAAAAACCTAGCAAGCTGCCTTGCTGTGAGCTGCCTGGTTAGACAGCTGCCTTCTAAGTGGCCATTCACAGGACGAATTCTTGCATATAAACATAGTGCAAGATAATTGAACAGAATGTGCCATTATAGGAGATTTTCTCCCATACATTGTTGCAAATATAAACACTCAGTAAGTTTGATATTTTAATATCGAATTAATGATATTAAAATAAGTATTCTTCATCTGGTCTATTGTTTGGTCCACTGTTTTCAATCCAACATCACTTTGTGGCAAAACTGTTTTGAACCCTATAATGCCAAAATCATATTTGATTTGCAAATTTGCTAAAAACCTGTTGTACGTAATCTACTACATGTCTTTTGTCATCTTACTGATAGTTTATTTTATTTATTTTTTAAATCAAGTAAAAGGCCTCTTAGTAGAATTGAAAAACGTCCCCCTTCAGGTCATGGTTCACGTGTCTTTTTGCTGTGAGACCTTTACTGATTTTTTATTAAGTAAACATAAGAAATATTTTGATATAAACATTTACTGAACATTTGCTAGACATTCTTGCAAGTAGTGATTCACATTACAAGCTATCAGACTTCCATTTTACTTTTTGGGTATATACGCATCAAAAACTACACCAATTTGCATATTTTTGCTCCGTTTTGGGCCTCTGGATAAACGAAGGTATTTTCTCCTCAAGCATGCACTCCATATTCTCACTATATCATAGAATCTGAGGCATAGACTCATTTCATAGGTCAGGCTTTACAGGGTTAACTTGATAGTGTCTTAAAAACTGTAAGATGCACTGTAACAGCTAAACACATCTGTCTACCACATGACAACATCTATCCTGCTTCATCTGCCATCTTGAATATCTTTTTTCCACTCAGCTTGGTGCAATGCATTCTGGGATTGCCTTTTTCTGCACAGGATTTTCTGATTTAGAATAAGGCTAAATTGAAATACCTCAGCATAAAGTTTCTACCTATCATCAGCAATAGCCTCCACGTTGGGAGCATGCCTATGATGCCTTAAGTTTAGGCTACTCAGTAGGTTTTAAGAACAGAGTTCTGGGGCATGAAGTCTTTGTTCAAATCATCTGAACAGTTTCTAGTGGGGAAAATGATGCTGTATCAGATGACTCTAAGATTGTTTCTTACTTTGGAGGAAAGCCCTCAGGCTTCAGAGCTGTCTGTAGCATCCTGTTATAGCCTGTCTGTGGACATGCAACTTGGTTGTTTTGAAGCACTCACAATAGATTATATTGTGCAGACTACATGAAGCTGTAACAGTTTAAACTACTGATTTTAGACAGCAGAGGCCAACTGCACCAGCTGTGCGTAAGTTAAACTTAAGCCTAGTTTTGATGTAAAGGGGAAGTAAGTTACAACTTATGCACTACTAAATATTTTTGTGTTGCACCATTAAACTTGAAACGCAACTCTACTTATTGATAAAATATTTACAGAAATTTCAACCAGGAGTAACGGGTGGGAAAAAAAACTAAACAGCAGATTGACTGAATTGCATCCTGAATAGCTCCTCTTTTACCTGACAGACTTCAATACTTTAGACATACATGAAATTGCAGAGGATATTGTGAATAAATTACTTTGTTAGCAGCTTTTCAACACAAATTCGACCTAAACAATGCACCTCTGTGTACATCGGTCAGCCTTGTGCATGCAAACATAATAACTCGTAACAAATAAAAGTCAATTTTTTGGTGTCAGTATTTAATGATTGGTCCTTTACTTATAAATATACTTATTATTTTACTCTTTATTAGTGTCTAAAGGATTGAAGTCTGTCATATAAAACAAGAGCTTATTGATGCAATCTGTTTTATTCAAACTGTTACCCCTGAGGTTTCTGTAAATATTTAGTTAATGTGTAGTTTATTAATTCAAATGAATATGTGTACCATTAGTTATGTGAGGCAAAAGAAGTTAGTCTGCTATTGGATCATTAAGGGTAAATGTCACATTATGCAACTACGCATAACTACGTTCTGTCTTAAGAACAAATTAAGTACAGCGTTACAACTACTTTGTGTTCCAGAACTTACGAACGGCTGGTGCAACTCTACCCAGACTTCAGTAAAAACTGTGGGGGAATTGTTTTAACTGTGGGACTGTTAAAAGCTCTTCCAATCACACATCGGAAAAAAACAGTAACATTTTGCTCCCACTTCCTGTGTCTTTGGCTGTATATGTTTGGGGAGTCAAAATAAGAGATAACTGGAAACAGGTGAAGGTCTTGCTGTCCTCAAGTAAAGGCACTATGTTCATATACCCAAGCAGAGGCGTTTCTATATCTGAGCTGAAGGGGTAACTGTCGAGTGAAGTAATTCTGTGCCGATCCAAATATCAGCACAAAAGAAATGTCAATTGTCATGTCATGTTGTCAATTATATCTAGTGACTCCCCTGCATGTGATGGAGTGCCGTAGATAAATCACATCAGCATCATTAAGAGTGGGCGACTGATCGATTCTCACATGGATAGTGGCACACTATCTGATCGACTAGTTACTCGAACTGCTGTACTATATAGGTTACAAACCCTCCTCAAATCAATAAGCAAATGGACAAACTGTGTTAACTGCTAGAGGAAGTTGCTGTGGGATTAATTATCTCTCCATGCCAAATGGTAGCACTTTCGTTTCCATTTAAAGATTTTAAGGTCACTTGTCATAGTGGTTCAATCACATTTTTGACCAGATAAATGTTTCTACAGTTTAGAAATTGCCTGCTATTTCAGTAATTATTTAATAGGTTAGCTGACATGTAAAAAATGCACTCTCAATGTTGTCAACATCATTGGCAAATCATACATACATTTGCAATGGAGTAATGGACTACTGTGGGAGAAGAGGCTTGAATTTGATGTTGAAATTTAAAGTAATGTATTAGAGATTGTGCATATTTTAAGTCACCATTCCTCAACGTTTCAACTACCCATTAATTCAACACTATACATCAGGGTTCCTCAAATCTTGCCCCGTAGGGCCAATGCGCTGCAGAGTTTAGCTCCAACCCTGATCAAACTCACCTACCTGTGATTTTCTAATGATCCTGAAGACATTGATTAGCATGCTCAGGTGTGTTTGATTAGGGTTAGAGCTAAACTCTGCAGGAAAGTGGATCTCGTGGGCCATATTTGAGGATCCCTGCTATACATGAACCAAAAGCATGAGGAAACATTTAGGTAAATGGACCACTGGCTTCAACAGTCAAGAGCATGTGTGCCAAGCCAACTAGACTGCTGGTCTGGCTTTGAATTTGCAGAGAGACAGGCTCAGGGGCATATTACAGGAACCATTGCTATGGTGCTACAAAATAAGGACATGCTCTGGATGGTTTGTGTGTGAATATATGCAGCAGTTTCCCAAAACCCTCTCTGAGAGCACACAGCTGGGAGCAAGAGTAAAGACACAGCCACTTGTATAAAATTCTTTCAGAGAGAAAAAAAAAAAACGTTGCCCAAAATGAAGCTTCTATCATCATTTATTCTCCCTTGCATGTTGTCTTTGCACTAACATTACTTTTTCTTCAGAAAACACAAAAAGAGAACTTCTAAAGAATGCTCTGAAGAATGCAGTTCTTATCCATAAACCGTGATCCATTTTTTTTTCTTTACTTTCACTCTTGATCAATTTTACTCAATTTACTAAATAATAGTGTATGAAACAAATCACTTTGACTACTTTTATAATGGTTGTTTTGTACATTTGGGAGGTTGACAGTCACATCACAATGTTATTGTATGGAACAAAAGCTGCATGAACATTTTTCAGACTTTTGTATTTTAGACATAATTAAACAGCATATGGGCTTGGAATGACATGAGGGTGAATAAATAATGACAGATTTGGGGTGGACTATTCCTTTATTTCTACGTGGGCACTATTACAGGGATACTCCTTGGTTTCCACCTTGTAATTATACTCACAATTACTGATGACTCCACCAAGGGGGTCTCCTTTGAAGTCAAACTCGATATCCATGTACTTCCCCTATAGAAAGAGAAGAAATTGTTAGCACATCCCATAAAAAGTGCATGGTGGGTTAGTTGATGACATGGCTCTTTATTATTGTTTAACATGGTCTTCCTGTGCAGTCAAAATAAGATATTACTAAGAAGCTAAGGTCTAAGAAGCAATGGTGACATTGCATCAAGGCCTTTGGTACTAATGGTAGGCTTGCTGCGGAGAACCACGTGGCTCTTTTGTGGTTCATGATGGTAGGAAAAGACGCATGACAACAAGGGCAGTGATCACTGCAAATAGGGCTGAAATTTGAGCCTTCCGTGAGGCAAATGGGAGAAGAAAAAAAAAGGTTCATAACACACGCTGCCAATCATACATAGATTTGCAATGGAGTAATGGACTACTGTGGGAGAAGAGGCTTTTTTTACTGCTGTAATGGTAAGAGAAACTTTTTTTGTCTTCTGTCCCCGCACACTATTTGGGAAAGGAACAGTAAGCCCAGTGTCTCTGGAGCCAGTTAAATTTGTCCCTCTTTATTTATATCCAACAGCTCTTAAAAAAGGAAACTGCCTCAGAGGCTGCTGAATAAACTCCTAGAACTCCTACAACACAGGAAGTCACAGCTGAAAATTACTTTGAGAAAAGCTGTAACAGTATAGCAGTTGAAAACTATATGATAAAATGGTGCTTGAGATCCAAAACATTATTACGAAATTCCAAATCTCAAGGTCTTAACATGCCATCAACTTAGAAATCAGAGATGGTTCCGTTCCAAACCCTGTCGAGCTGGCTTGCTGTCTTCAAAGGCTGCATCCTAACCAAGGTGCTGACTATTGTAAAATGTTCTGCACAGTCCATTTCTGTTTACGCCACATACATGAAGACTATTCACATTTGATTTCAATAGAGCTTGTTATTAGCATGTAGCTATGCTAATAATGTGATACTTTAATTAGCATAAATAAACGACACCCTTGTGAAAAATTAATACACTTAGTTGACACTCAATGTGTACTTGTAGTTTACTTCATATCTTAAAAGTGTATTTAAAAAAAAAACTGTACTTGCAGTTAATATAACATTAATGAAAAAGTCATTTAATTATAGGCCTACTTTTTATTTTAAGGTGTCCTTGTTACACATGTTACATGTACTTACTATTATAATAACAATAAATGATACATAACTACATGCAAGTAACCCTAAGCCAAACCCTAATCCTAACCATATAGTAAGTACATGTAGTTAATTATTACTCAGTACTTAAATGTATAATTACACTGTAACAGGGACACCTTAAAATAAGGTGTGTAACCAATCTTTTCTTGTGCTTTAAAGTATACTTATTTGATGCGTTGACTAACATATAATTTAATGTGTAATTACAAATATATTTAAATACATGACATACAAGTTTTAATAGAAATGGCATTACAGTCATAGCAGTACACTTTATCAATATGGAAGTAATTATGAAATTACATATAAAGATGTAAGAAGTTCTACGTAAGTGGGTCAAAAAAGCGCACATAACTAACTGCATTTAATATAAATGTGAACTATATTACATTTTAATTTAAATGCAATTTACAAGCTATTAAGTGTCCGGAAATATTCAAAGAATACACTTAAGTGTGAGCTTAATGTAAAGTATATTATTTCTATAATAAGTGCGCTTTATTAAAAAGTATGCTAAAGGTATATTACTTTTCACAAGGGCACACCAATATATGGTAAAATGTTTACTTTTTTTGTTTTTTTTACTTGTACTTCATGGATACCACTATATGTCTCACCTAAGCAACCATCCTAGATTTACAGTTTGCCAATATGCATTATGGGATGGCCTTTGCTACAGAGGAAACAATGCTGCCTTACAATCCAAAATAAGACAACTTTGTTTTGAGATTGTCGACGATGCCTCAAAATGCTACCTATATAGGCTTTGTTTTAAAACAAAGTCACAGAAATAAATGGTTCCTGGCTAAAGAGTGTTATGTAACACACTGATGGTCTCATGTGGGTGATGCAAGAGCTAGTAAGAGTGCTCAACAAACTCAATTTTGACCCATGAGTTACTAAAATTTAAATCTGGGAAGTTTCCTGAGGATAAACGTCAACAACAACACTGACTCAACGCTGTTCTGTTTTCCCTGTTATGTAAACTGAACAGCACCTCTGTTGAACCTCTGAAAGCACACGCTGGACAATGCTGTGTGGTCTCTAACCTCTGTAAGTACACACTCTATAGCTCAGTATATGTTTACTTTGTGTGGTCAGGCTGTGACGGACAGCTGGAAAGGGCCAGACTGTCAAAGAGCAGCGGCATTAAACACATTTGCATAAACAGAGATATTAAACTGTGCTAATCTCTGTGCTGAATGGCATTGTGGGAGCCTGTCCTCATGGACAACAGGGAAAAATAAGAACCGACTCAAAGGCATCTGGAGGTGGTTGCCAGAGAGGTTACACAGAGTTCTGTTTGAATCTTGCTATACGCACGAAGAGCAATCACTCTAGTGTTGCTGTGTCAGAATAGGGCCAGATGTGCTCAGGGCCGGTCCATAAGCAGCAGAACACAAAGCAAACCAGGAATGTTGCAGTATAATTTTTGCAAAATCAAACTCCCAAGAAAAGCATTGCATCACTTTAGGGGTGGGCTGACAGAAAGTAATAAAATAATTTGCCTGTGTTCACATTATGGATCAAAAGTCCATGTTGATCTAATCTAAAGCAAACACACTCTAGAGGGAGGAGCAGCATCAAAACACTCGTAAAATATTCTGACTGGAAAAAGAAAGAGATACTCACAAATCGAGACGAGTTGTCATTCCTCACGGTTTTGGCGTTCCCAAAAGCTGCAGTGGAATAACATGTTGTAAGTTAGTCAAGCCAGATTCATTCAGCACTACATTTCTACTTTGACTGATGTCATCTTGTGGAAAAATTATCCTGAATCCTCTCAGGTACCTTTCATCATATTCATGGAGCATAAGATACTTAGACGACCTAAAATTACAAATAAAAACAATTCCACATGTCCTGCAATAATGCGTCCATTTTAAACATTAATGAGTATCTTAGTTAACTCTAATGGACACTGTATAGAATTTACATTTATAGATTTGGCAGATAAATTTATCCTTAGCAGTTTAATTTGCGTTCAAGGTTTACATTTTATCAGCTGAACCCATGACCTTGGCATTGCCAGTGCCATGCTTTACTGTTTGAGCTACAAGCTGACATCACAATAAATTAATATTCCAATGTGCTTTCAGAACATTTGTTTGTTTTCAAACAAAGGCTACGTTCCAAAAACATTACTCTAGTGCATGATATGTAATACTGCGTTCTGTAATACTGTGTTCTGCATGCATGAAATATCCAGATGACCTAATTCATTTGCAGTATACAAAACAGCACAATGCAAAGAATAATGTATCCCATAATGCAACCTTCCACTTTAGGAAGCAGTTGCTTATTAGCACTAGCATATTGTCTGTTTATTAGTACTTATAAAGCACATATTAGTGCCTTATTCTGCATGACCATATATTAGATCCCCTATATATATATAAATATATATATATATATATACACATACACACACACAGGTGCATCTCAAAATTAGAATATCGTGAAAAAGTTCATTTGTTTTGTAACTTATTTTAAAAAGGGAAACGGTCATATATTCTAGATTCATTACATGTAAAGTAAAACATTTCAAAAGTTTTTTTGTTTTAAATTTGATGATTAGAGCTTACAGTTCATGAAAGTCAAAAATCCAGTATCTCAAAATATTAGAATATTTCCTAAGATCAATCAAAAAAAGGACCCTCTTTGTGGAGGGTGTCAATGATCATCTTCTGGACCTTTGCCAAGTCAGCAGTCTTCCCCATTATTGTGGTTTCAAAGAACAAGAGATACCCGGAATTTATTCTGTAGGGATGGTAATTTAATGAAATTCAAATGTAAATATTCTTATATATTGAGATACTGGATTTTTGACTTTCGTGAGCTGTAAGGCTCTAATCATCAAAATAAAAAATTAATGTTTTTTTTTTTTTATGTTTTACTTTACATGTAATGAATCTAGAATATATGAAAGTTTCACTTTTTGAATTTCCATTAACCATACTTAAAAATAAAGGTTTTATAATGGGGTTTTCACAGTGACGCCATAGAAGTACCAATGTTGGTTCCCCAAAGAAACTTTGGAAAGTGCTTCAAATAACCATATATATTTTTTTCTTAGAGTGAGGATTAAAATATTTTTTATTTAAAGTCTAAAGAACCTTTTTCCATTATAAAGAACCTTTTGTTCAATGAAAAGTTTGTTAAAGGTTCTTCATGGAACCAAAAACGACAATAAAGAAACTTTATTATTCATTATTACAACATTAAATATAACAAATTTTCACATTTTCCTTCTGAACACAATCTCCCCATATATAAACTGCATATATACACAGAGTCTATGGTAGAGAAACATGCAGCAGGAAATGTGCAGGACCCCCAGTGTGGGGCTCATTACTTCCAGCAGCTAAACTCTCACAGATGTGGGACTTCACTCTGCTCCGAGTCCTGCTGCCAAGAAGCACTAGGCATTCCTACTCCATCTCCATCTCATCGCTTATGTGCATTTCCTGTTCATGGCCCCACATAAAAACACAGCTGTCTGCTTGCCAGCAGGGACCAAGATGCTTTTGGCCCTTTAAGTTGAAAGTGGGGCAAGATTATGGGAACACTCATATGATGTAGGTCTCGAATCATCTGCTCCCAAACTTGCCTTCAAGAAGGTGAAATGATCTGCCACCCAATTTTCTATTAATTGACCTCCTGATACATTCAAGCACATCGGATGTCACATCAGTTTTAAGGCAAGACAAGTAACCTGAATGTCTTAAAGGTGTGAAATGACATATAGACAAGGTAATTGGTACAAAAACAGAAGATGTGGAAGACTCACCCTCAAGCACGGGATTGGACTGAAGCAGCTGCTCCTTCACTTTGTTCACCTCCTGGCCCTTCCCACACACTGCCGCCACATATGACATCACAAACTTACTAGCCTCTGAAAAACAGACCACAGAAGAATGAGGTCAGGGGTCATCTTCTAGACGAGACCTCACCCCAAAAATCCCCTTTACATCAACTCTACCCATCCTCCAGGGAGCAAACGCCTTTCCCACCTCACATGAGAACCCAAACTCCCTCCTTCTTTCAAAGCCAACTATGAGATCAGCTGTTTAAAGAGCTGATACTATTAATTATGAAGAGATGACAGAACAACTCAAATATTGGGGAAAGCCTGTGCATCAGTGTCCAGTTTGGCAAATATAATAAAAATTAAATAAATAATAATAATAAAAAGATTTTTTTAAATGTCTTCTTTTAGTTTATTTAGTAAAAAAAAAAATATATAATAATAATAAGTGGAATAGTGTAAAAGCCTGTCCTAATTATGTTAAACTAGTGATTATCATTATTATTTTTTATTACTGTTCAAACTCCGTTTTAGCTTTTACATGGAATGATTTTAATCTACTTGGCACGAACGGCTGTGTAAGATTTATCTTGTTCGACGCTTAATAACTTTCCCATGTCTGGACCTGAGAGCAGTGACTTGTGCACAGAAGTACAGATATGAAATGTTTTCTGAAGGGAAGGATGCCCACTTATGTTTTAGAGATTTATGGCTATTTTTGGATTCTGCTCAATTCACAGGACTTAAAGTATGAAACATTTTGATCAAACCTAATACATGAAGGGATGGCAGAGCGATAATCAATCAGATAGAAAATAATGCTATAACTCCTCATTTTATATAGCTTTTAGCATAGGACCTGAACACTGAATAAGAGAGCCCAATTTAATTTATTTCTGAGCAAGGGTAGATTTTCATTAGTGCAGAAGAACATTTTGAAATTAACACAGTGACCCGAGTATGTGGATTACCACAATCCCCATTTATCTCATTGCCTTGACTGTTGGATGTCCTGGATTTGAATGGTTGGCACAGTAAGATGCCCATTTTAAACCAAGAGGAGTCCAGTTTTGGACTGCTAAATGGCTGTGGTTAAACTTCAGCATTTTTAAAGTAATAAAACAGCTTCTTCCAAAAGAACATAATTGAGCTGAGCTGACATGAACAAACTCGAACAAATTTCCAGTCAGAAAATCACAATATTATACTTGCTTGTTAGATGAACACTTGCAATTCAAAAACTAAAATAAAAAATTGTGTTTCTGTTTGTAGGGCAGATTGTAGGCTGTCAGTAAATGTTGCTGTACTGACTGACACTCTTCCAGGGTGAGTGATCAGCTCTAAATAAATTGGACTACACACTGCCTAAAAACAGTGCTAATTTCAACCCATTTTATTCCGCCTCCCAGTTTCCTCACAGTCTGTACTTTTCTACAATCATTACTAAGGAATTTTCCAAAACCACCACTAATAATAGGTCTGATTGTGAGGGAAATGTTGCATGTAGTTCCCCTCCTCTAAGACGTATAAAAGTCTGGATTCATCAGGTTCACGGCGAGCTAGTGGTACACATGTGTATGGCAAAACAAAAGCTCCAGAACAATGATAAGCAGATCCAAGGTTGAATGGAATTGCTGTAATACTTTATTGATATGCATGTTCTTAATGACCATGACAAAAGCCATCTCTGATGTGGCATGCATACATTTGGATACTTAAGCTCTAAAATGGGTCAAAGGCATGCCAGGACTTTTTCAACTTACAGAAATGGGTAAATAGCACAAATGAAAGACCATATTCCGACACTATGGCTCCAAAATCTTGCAAGCTGCCTACATAGAAAGCATTTTAAGGCATTGTAGGCTGTTCTAAAAGTGTGTAGATGATTATGTTGCATTCTAAAATGCTGCCTTTTTGTTAAATCCTAAAGGTGTGTTCACATTGGCAAAACTGGCAAGGAAAGTCCATTGGCCATTATCAATAGTATAGCGATGTATGAAGCATCGCTTACTTTAACGCCACTTCCAAACTAAGCAGCTTTACATTGGTCAATGCAACAAATTTTAAAAGTTTAACAAACTTGAATCGGATCTGATAACAAACTATATCCATTTTGGCAATCCTTTCTACTCGCAAAATTCCAGATCATGATGCTCCCTATTGAGATGACTGCATTTCACCTGCGGACATTTGGTGTACAAGCGTAAAAGTGACCGCACCTTAAAGTGGAATGGCATGTGTCCTTTGCAGAAGGTAATCCCAGAATGCACTACAACAAACTCAATGAAAAACATCCATTTGATATGGTGGAAAATCAATTCAATAAAAGTGCAGGTTAAAAATAGTTCTATCAATTATTATACACAAGTTTTTTTATGCTTGGAGAACTGCATTGTTAGCTAATTGCAAAATGCTAATGCTAAACTCCTGTGAGTTTTCTCTGAGGTTTGTATAAATAGGGATATTTGTATGGCACACAAAGCTGCCTAGGTAGAGTGTTTCAAATCAGTAACATATAAAGTAAAAGGGTTTTTACTCAACTGCAACAACCAGCTGTATCAGACAAACTCCTATTGGTAGCTGCCACATGTCACTTCTAATTTGCAAAAACTGTGTACAGGACTCTTAATAGCTGCTTTCACTCCAAATAAATATTATACTCTCATTGATGTAATGTATAACTTCAGTCAACTGTCTTGCTGCAAATTGCTGTCAAAGCAGCTCACTAGGTTGGGAACAGAGCCTTTATTTTATTTTAATATTATGAAGATAATACACTAACCCATAAGTATTACTATTAACACTCCAAACAAAATCTTGAACGGAACAGACTGACGCGGCACAAATTGTACGGAGAACGAAACCCAAAAAATATAGAGTCCATCTGATGGAGGTTTGGTCTTTGGGCGGAGGCCTGGGAGAGACTTGTGAGGAAAAGAGAAGAGTAGGAGAGCCAGAGAGGGTATGCGGCATTACATCAACACAGAAACGTGCATGGCCTAGATAGCAGATGTTTGAGCTTTGTGAGGTGGCAAAACCGCTCGACATGACCCGAACAAAAGAGAGGCATAATACAATCATCTAAACCCTGACAAGAGGGCCATGAAAGGGGTCCCATTGAAGGAAATTTGCCAAAGTGGTAAATCTAGACCATCGTGATGCTTTAGGCAGTCCCAGCATGCATTGCAAAACCATTTTTTTGCACTGGCGATGGGTCCACATGAAAATTAATAGCTTAAATCTGAATATGAATGGACTCTTAGGCCTCCGCAAGCAGAGCAACAAAAAAAGACACAAGAACTCTCCCAATGACAAAAGGGAGGAGACGCGTGTGTGGTATATGTCCCGATCCAACTTTGAGCTAAAACTGAGCTTTGGTTTGCACTAAAGGGCCAGGGAATCATTAGATGTTCGTCTTCATGCCCCGCCTGGAGCCACACCATGTGCAGAAAGAGAGGAAATTAAGAGTAAAGTGAGAACATCTGCTCTGTGCAATCGTCACAAGGTTAGGACAGAGGGGTCAGTTTGCTAAGTCTACTCTACAAGAGGGAGTAATTTCTACAGTATGCAAACTTCACTCTGACTGATATAAGACTTGGTGAGATGTAGTAACAAAGGACCAATGGGAACATCAAAGTAAGGAGTCCATGAGCTGTTGGCCTGAAGAGCCACATCTGACCAGGAGCTTCTTGATGAATGGAGGGATGTCCTTTAGCACATGGCCTACAGGAGATTGAACCGTAATTTCAGCTTGCTTTAAGGCCGTGGTAAGGCCCAAAGCCACAACAAAAGGCACATGGCAGAAAATAGTATGTTGCTACCACCGATAATCCTGCTTAAAAGGGAAAACTAATCACAAGGACAGGAACACCCAAAATATAACCGGCATCAATGCTGTTAATGTACAGAGCTGGAGGCAGGACAAACTACACAGGAGCCAAATAATGAATCATGCCTCAGCAGGCTGGACAGCTCTCTACACTAAGATAGGATATCCGTATGTGTTTCTGAATGAGCCACAGTTGAAGTAATGTTTTCCTGCTTGTGGTGGAGTGATCATGGACTCCGCTGGAACAAACAATGGACCACGGAAGCTCCAGAGAAGGAAGGCTGAAAAATGCAAGTGCATTCAACCAGGTGGCCACAAACACCTCAGCTGCTTCTTGCACAATGCTCTTGTTTTATAGACTTTGGTGTGTCTGGTTTTACATGTACATGGAGAAGCTATTGCACAGCCTGCAGGAGTAAACAGCCACCGGATGTGATGCTTTTTCATATGGAAGCTGTGAAATAAGACAATGTGATTCTTAAAAGTTCAGTATAAGCATTTTTGCCAGTAAACCTTTTCCAACCAAACCTGAATTTAAAACAGTCAGAAATATTAGGAGGATGATCAGAGGACATTCACTGTCCATTAAAACTTTACTTTTACTATAAAATTAACTTTATAAAACAGACACCTCAGACTCTTCTGAAACATCTAATTTTTTCAGGAGACTTTCATGGGTTATAAAAAAACCTTCTCCACCCAAATTCTGAATTTAAAATATTCACTGTCCATTAAATATCTTACTTTCACTATAAAATTAAGTTTATGAAACAGACAGCTCTAAAAAAATAAAAATAAAAATAAAAATTCATGGGTTATAAAAAAACCTTTTATCTTTCATTTGCTGAATGTTTTAACACAAAAGAAACAATTGCACGTGTTGTTTCTTACAATTGTTTAAACAATAGAGAGTGAGAGGCCTATAGTTGGGATCCCCCTTCCATTGGCCCCTTCACACCCACAGATGGAATGGAATTAAAAGAAGTGACAGACTTTTTTCCGTATTGTGATGTACGTGACATTTTGATTAAATGTTACGGTCATATGTACAAATGAATTATTCAAAGATCTATAACATGCATTTATAAAATAGGCTGGATGGATTTTTATTTTATACCAACTCTATGAAATTTAGCTTAGCAACATGCTAATAGCAAAAGGTATTGAAATTAAACGCATGTTTAGTTACCTGTGCAGTTCAAGTATAATGGATTTTTTTCCCACCACCAATGCTTTCAAAATGAAGTAAATAAGTAT